TAAAAACAATTTCCTTGTTGGTCTGTTTTAATGTCAATGTTGAGGTTTTGGACGGGACTGGAAATAATTTTTCGATTTGATTTAGGTCTATACCAACAACTTATGTGCCAATTTTTTAATTAATAGCTCGCTCCGTTTTTACAGCTTGGCAACGACTTTCACACAAATTGGACTGTGAATAGCACAAAAATACGATTTTTGATGTACTTCTAGTATATTTCTTAGTTATATTTTATTTATATTTCTGTTTAAAGTGTTCCAATTGATCTATATCAGAAATTAAAATTTTATGTTTTTAGCTCATAAACCTCAGTGGAGTTCTTTTGATATTAACGCATGTTTTATTTTTAATTTTACTAAGTGTCGTAGGTAACTTTGGATTACATTTTCAAAAAATTAGTTGTTGTTAAGATTGGTACCAGAATGCTCAGCATATCTGAAAATAAACTTTGACAATTTTGTACATGTCTTGAACAGAAAAAAACACACACAGAATTTACGCCCTCTGAAATGGGAATATATTCAAAGTTTATAATTACTATTCCGCTCAATGTTCAAGACAAATGAGGGTATTAACTTCAACAACTTTATTATGGAGTTAGTTTAAACAATTTTTATGGATAATGCATTTCCTATTAGTTTGAATTTTAAGTCAAATCCATTACAAAGAGATCATAAAAAAAACAAAAAAGTTAATGTATTAAATACTACAATGATGTATTTGATTTCCTGATGAGAAACAAACAGAAATAAAATGTTTAAAAATAATATTGTTTTAAATATGTGTTGAAGCCAGTGCATTATTGTAACTCAAAATTTTGCTACAAACGGGTGACGGGTTGAAGTGATATTGTTATAAAAATCAGTCGCACTATAACAAAAATCTTTTAAAAAATTTTTTTAAAGTTCTTTACCTTCATCCATTTGCAGTAGTTATTCATTCATACTACCAGCTTGATTCTTAAAGAGTAACAATGGATTAACATATTTTTAGATTAAATGAAACTGTAGTTTGTCTGGTGTACACGTGCTATCATTGCAAGTAATTGCAATGCTACCTAAATATGAGCGTTACCATATTTATTAGAACACATATACATCTGCTCATGTTTTAAATTGCATTATAATTGATACAATTTTTTCTCTAAAGACATGAAACACCTGTGTTTTACAATTTGTAAATATCGGATTTGGAGCATGTTAGATGCTTATCTTTTGAAAATGAATTGTTGAATGTGGCAAAAATGTGTAATACAAGTAGCAAAACGTACAAAAAAAAACTATTTTGCTTTACGTACAAAACACTTAATCACAATAATTGTATTTAAGCAGACATGGCAATGAGTACCGTTCCGGAAACTGTAACAGTCTTTCTATGATAAAAAGCTTTTGAGACTGAAAAAGAAATAATAGCATCGACCTAATTTACCTTAATATAGGATTTCATGAATTAAAATAATTATATAGACATTTTGTTTAAATTTTCGTTTGCTTTAAGCTTTAAATGAAGAAGATGATCTTCAGTATAAGTATTTTTAAGCTTAACAATCGTTATGCCATACTGGTGAAATGACAATAATTGTTTTCTATAACAGGTTCAAGTTGAGGGATGTTGCACTAATTCATTATCCCTCATGTACAGACTCAATCAAGCTGAGTCTGCAATTCTTATGTTATTTTGTTGTGATTAATGCTTCCGAGGGATCACTTTGTTTCCAGTATTTTGTACTTCACAACAGCAGGTGTCAAGTGCCTTGTGGCAGCCGTAAAAAGTTGTCCCGTAAAGTTGTCCCGTACTTCACTTCAGTGTTGTTATATTTTCTGGTCCTTCGGGATTATTGATGCCAACACTATAAAGTGTTGAGAATTGAGTACCGCTCAAGCCGGTGCTAGGGGGCGTGAGGGATGTTGCACTTATTAATTATCCCTCATGTACAGACTCAAACAAACCGAGTCTGCAATTATTATGTTATTTTGTTGTGATTAATGCTTCCGAGGGATCACTTTGTTTACAGAATTTTGTTCCACTTCAATAAGACAATGTGACAAAATGTTACAAAGATAAGGCTTTAATACAATATAATCCCTTTTCTTTTACAACCCTTTACGGTCTAGATACGTGAACTAACAAATAAATGTCGAAATTTTCTTTCTTTATCTAGTGTGTGTGTGGGGGGGAGGTGAACTTTATATTGATTCAGTTCTCTGACGTGTTCATAAATCAAAATATTGACTTTTCTCATTCTCTTTCTGGTTGGGGTCAATTTTGTCAATTATCATGCTCCATTTACGACTTGATATATGTTCCTAGCAAAGCGTTCTTAATCTCTTTAGATCGCATCAAAGGTCTAAACATCAGTTTTAGATATATTCTGATACTAATTTTATGTTTATCCCCAATCCCAAATTGTTTTACTTTGTATTTTGTCGTAATCATGCAAAGTTTAAATTATTGTTAATATTAAGTTTTCATTCTGTGCTTAAGTCTTAATGTAACTATCAGATACGCCTCCGAAATCTTACAACTGTCAAGATAAATGAAATATCAATCACACTTATGTCGCTGATCAAATTACTAAATTTTTGAGAAAGAAAATATATTGATTCAGTGATTTGACATGTTCATAAATCTCGATATTGATTTTATAATTTTCTTGTTTGGGTCAATTTTGTCTGTTATTTTCTATATTTACGACCTAAATTACGACCTAATTCAGGTCAAACGCAAGTCTAAAATGAAGCACACGTCATCCACTTTTGAACTTTTGAACCTATACGTCTCTTTATCAGTTCTCAGTATTATCAGTTCTGATAATAAATTGTTAATTAACATAAAGATAAAACCCTATTTTAATGAAGATTGATTTTATTGTTTTCTGTGCTGGTACTTACGATAATGATTTTTGAAATTCGTGCATAAAGTTAAAATAATTTTCCAGTAAAAAGTTCAGTTATTAATTAGGTTTAATTTGCCTTGAAATGATGACGTCGACTTAACTAACCTTATAGGATTTCATTTATGGGGGTTGCGTTCATTGAACGCCGCCTTTTCTTGTTGATCTTGTTTATCATATTTTAATAAAACATATTAGTTACGTAAGTTGTTTAAGGAGTATACTTTTAAAAAATAATTATATTTCTTTCATCCCAGTCCCTTTGAATATATTATTTTAATCGTATTCTAATTGAAAAATGTAGTATGTATTATCTTAATTCGTATATATTCTTGAAATAAATATGCAAAAACTGAAAATTAAACTTAGTTTTTTAAATTAAAACTAAATGTTATTTATTAAGCTGTAAGTGGAGATAAACTATTATTGAGACAACTCAATTTGCATATCTTTATAAATACAAATTGACTTGATAACGATTAAGATATCCATATACCGCATGCAATTTTAGATAGCTCTGACGTACAAAATGAACGTTTCGTATTTGCTATTGAATTATTATGACCTTATGGGTTTAGTAACACAAACCTGTATATCCATTATCCCAAATATTCATAAGGAATTAATAAGTGGGCTTGCATGATAAACTTGTATTGTTAATTGCTACATATCATGTAGTACTGTAATATGACATCTTGAAAAAGTGATCAGTTATAATTCGTATGCGTTATATAAATATTGCATAGTACATTGTTTGTAAATTGTTATTTCTATGTTCCAAATACGCAGGTAAGTTCTTGAACAAAAGTACTTATATTATATCTTTAATTAAAGTTAACTGTATGACAGAACAGCTTATTGTTCTGTACAAATAATACTGGAAACTGACAAATGCATTTGTTGCTATTCCAGAAGGCTGTTAATTTTGCATTTATTCCCCAAAGGGAAACAAATCCGGTTTGTATTTCAATGCAAAGCTTAGGTAAGTTTCATAACTTGAAATGTAAGAAGTTTTATATTCATTTATTCTACAACGTTTCGATTTAATATAAGGATGGCGTTTTGGCAGTCTGCGCTTTTACATTTTCACAGATAGAAAGTACTTCGCTTCAGAGTAAACAAAAAAGATATTCAATATATCTATAAAGTGGTGTTGAGACATGAAAAGTAATTTTGATGCAGATTGAAATAATGTATTTTTGTCTTCTTGAATTTCATTGTGGTCTGTTGTCTGGTTACAAAGGATAACGAAATCCTTGTTAACATGCTATTTATGATAATTCAATAATGAACAGAATTGTTATCCTCAACAGCAGATTATGTGCAGCAGTATATTTCTCCAGTACTCAGGGGTCAGTGATTGCTTGACATCTACTTTTTTATATGTGCTCCAGGCATTTCCTGTTTCCACAATGTCTAAAGTAACCCATACATATTTCGTAAAATCTTCTTTCAACGGTATTTACAGAATAAGACTGATCCGGTTTGCTTCTTCAAATTTAAGAGATGTCAATTGCGGTTATAGTTTTGTTACTGTTATTTCAATGGGTTTGCTATCTTCAGTTATGCTGGTATTTTATTTGTAACCACAACAATAGAACAATAATTTATAGCATGTAAGGATTGCAGTTCTGGTCTTTTCAGATATATTAAAACGTTTGTTTAATTAGGTTCCGTACAACGATACAATTAATAAAGACATACATGTAATTATGTTAATTTTAGTAACCATGTAATTAACTCATTTTGAAAAACTAGTTTCTGGATACAAGAGAAACGTTTATCACCAAGCTCACCATCACACTGTGTGGCCACCATCTGCACAACGAAACTAGTATAAACTCAAGATATAGATGATTTATCTAAGAATGGTGAAATCTACATCTCTTAATCCTTCTGATTAACAAATGTGCTTATAAATAATTATTGCGAAAACAGAACTTTACAAGTGGGTAATGTCTTGACAAATCTTTAACAACTGCGAATGAATGTAAATGTGTTCCTAAGAAACACTGATTATAAAAATATTTGCTGATAAATATATACCGGTTCCTGCAAGCTAAGAGGACATACTTGTAGCTCAGAAAATGACAAGATGACACATCAGATATTCTGGACGTTTACTGATTTATGACAATAGTGATAATTGGTATGACACAAACATTATGATAATTAAATTTGTACAAATATTTACATCATATAAAATGGATTTATTCATAATGGATACAGAAATCATTTAAGCACAGTCATCATGAACTGTATATTTAACATTCGTCAACGTTTAAACAATCTTTCCTTTCACTCACAGAAGTAACAGATATGAGAATTGACAAATACATATAATATTTACAAACTTACATATATTCATACCATTTTGATAACATCATGTTTTTAACATTTTCTCTTAAATAAAACATATTATAATGGTACAAACAATAAGAACATAATCTCCTAAATTATCGCTTATTCACACCGTGTATTCGCAAAATTATACCACTGTAATTAAATAAGCTACTCAAAATTTCGGAAGAATGTTTGTCCAGTAAAACATCATAAGCTCACGTGTATTTGTTTTTTTTTTCGGAATCTGATCATAATTATGAAAAGTAAATGACACCTTCCGCCCTGCTGCTTTCGTACTTGCCACAACAATAACATCATTATCAGAAGGACTTTTTTAATCCGGTTATCCAAAGTAAGTATACTCCAATTTTTAATTTCAAAGGTGCAATGGTATTATAGTTAGTTATTTTTACAAGTTATCGCCTCTAACAGTACATGTTTTCACCATTTGTTTCAACTCCAGAAAAACACATTTCATCTAGGAAACAAATACATGTACTAACTTTTATAATATTCAAATACTGACAATTACTCAACAAAACATGATTAAAACAATGAGTATTGTACAAAAATATAAAATAACAACTCTCAAAAAATGCCTTTTAGGAATAAGGGTCAGAGAGTTCATATGAACGATACCGATGATGTTATTATAATACATGTGGCAAATGTTTGTTTCTTGTACACTTGAGCACTAGAGTCCACTCTATCGCGAAACCATTTATTTCATAACACAGAATTAAAGATATACTATGCTCAAATTTAATATTTAAAAATATTGATAAGTGCTACACGATTTCTTTGTAAATTATAAATAAACAAGTTTTGACTTCACATGAAGTGAATATATTATGCTTTAATTCCTATACATTAAGTGGACACACTATGAATATATAGTGTCATTGTAGTGTCATTAAAAAACTGACAGATATTTTTAAGAAAGGGCCTGCTTTACTTGACCATTTATAACAAGGAAGGCAGATTCCCATTAAAAAGTTTGTACGTCCTTTTATTCAAATAAGACATATTCAGTAAGAATTTATAGATTTTAATAAATTTCTGCACTTATATAATTTTACCCAAAGATAAGCTTAGTATATATTTAAACTACTACTGCGAATACATGTAAATTCATTTTAGTAACATGACATCACAGTAAAATGTCAAATATTTCAGAATAAATGTTCATAGAATGATCAACATTCTTAACCAATTCAAAGACTGCAAACAACAATGAAATGATTTATACACACTACTTATACAAATCAAATATTAAAATATCCATAACAGCAATGTTATGTCATATTTATTTCACATTTGATATAAAAGTTCAGGACAAAGAATGAGTTAACAAACCAATTCGGAAACTCAAAGTATTAAGTCAAAATTAGTATAAGTCTGTCTCAATCAAATAACTGAATATCCAACAAATGGAAATAAAACAAGTATTATATAAAACATGGTAAAAAGGCGCCAACAATTTGGTCAAAAGGAAAACATGTGGAAATGCTAAACAAAAAACCATGAAACGTAATCATCAAACGTAAACGTAATTCCTTGAATGAAAACATCAGTAAACATTTGCATAATGTTGTATGCAATGCTTCTAATAGAAACGTATCTGAACAAAGTCTTTTCTTTGCTAAGTTTTTTTTTTGGCATTTTTCTGTGTTTATTAAAATAACTAAGTAGATGCATTTAAATCAAAAAAGCAATATAATAATGAAATTTTACAGGCAGAAAACGTTACTATTTAGTGATAGTTTGACATAATATCCATGTCAAATATGGTTGATACTCTAAGCCAATCGTATATTTCAACAGCAGTATTTGACGTTTGATTTTATATACCGGATAAGGCACTTTTGGTAGTCTATATATTAATAAATATAACACATAATGGAGTTAAATTTGTTAATATGTCTATATAATTATATATTTTGTACAAATGAGTTTTACAAAATGCATATCAATTTACAAAAAAAAAACGATAAAGTTAAACAAACGAACACAACAATGATACACAGCATCGTATACATTTGAAGTGGATTGTTTTAAATGAATATATGGTTATTTGAATAAGTGATGTATTATTTTATATACGTATATGATGTGGAGACTTAAGGAATGATTAGGACCGTAGGGCTCGTTTACAATCTTCGTGCATTGTCAATAAAAAACGAAAACGTTATTGTGTTATTTCATGAAATATTAAGGATGCCTTTCTAACAAAGGTAGTACAATATCTTACAGATTTATGATAACAGTTCATATTTGACATAATGCATGGTAATGAACAATTAATTAAATTTGGCGTTGATACCAAACATAGAAAAGCACAGCAAAACAAATTTAACACATAGTAACTAAGTTCAGTTCTAAACAAAATGCGTTTCTATTCTTTCTTGTATATCAATTGAAATAGCTAAACAGGTGATTAGCTTTTATCAAAAATGATATACATGTATTTTCTTGTAAAAACAAACCAAAACATCTGCTTACTTATATATATCTTATTTAGGTTGTCAATTATTTGAAATGAAATAAGAGCATCAAAATTGTCTGTATTACAAAATGAAATAATCGTTAATATATATCGCTAGCCACTAAATAAATGCTGTCTACTAAACAACGGGAACAGAAAATACAAACTGTAAAAGAACATTTGCATTAAATTACTAAAACACAAATACAATAAACTGGATGGAAATGCTTATAAATACAAATGCTTGTGATATCACCAATTACAGCTAATTATATTTCACACCAGTCATTATGTCCCTTTTTCTTCGTTAACACTGTATCAGAAAGCTATATTATTATAAACTTTACAAGTGTAAACGTCTATTGTTTATCTCAAAAGTTTAAACAATCCAACAGAGCCTTATGTTTGTCATTTTTATCATGAATACATATTGATAAACAAATATAGATGACCATCAAATTCTTTCTTTAATTATTTCCTCCGTGTCCGATTTTACATCATTCAATTCTTGCCCTGGCACTTTCAAGACTCTAAGTATACCAGTAACGTCATTTTCAATCTAGTGAAGAAACATCTTTATCAGCGGCAATTTACAGTCTTCCTCTAATCAATCTTGAGCTTTTATCTTGGCATGATCTATCTCTGGCTCTGAAGCCAACTCATGCATTTTTGATCCCCAAAATTTGAGCTTTAAGTTCAGTTTAAAACTGTTTTTCAACTCCAAATAGGCCTTCCAATTTGAAGATCATGGCACATTTCTTCATTTTCAAAACTTTCTCATTAACATCTGGCTTTAATGAATGCATTCCAAATGTGTTTTTTTAGTTTGAATGGGGAGCTAAAAGTAAAAGGTACAATGCAATATATGTTTTCTCAATTATCAAATTCAATAATCTTGACATGCTTGTTTTGATAGGAATTGTGTCTGTATTAGTCATCTCACGCCGTACTTGGTTATGTTTGATAATAATAAGCAAACGCTGCTATCCAATTTCAACATATTTGCAGTGTATAATACAAACGTTCAGCCTAACCATTCGTCAATGGTTAAACAAAAGTAACAAATGTATACTAAACAAAAAAGTCAGATGTGAATGAGATCATAGCGCGACCAACACCTTAAAGCTGTCACCAATCTTTATTTACATATATATTACAATTATCACGCATATAGTTCTCTTTGATTTCTGTTATTAGGTATAGGTATCATCGGAGTAAATTGTACACCATTGTCTACTATCTCCTTACTAGCTACTCGTCGAGTAGCATTATTTGACCCGCCAAAACACTTAATAGCGAACCGAAGTTCCTCTGACATTTCGGAACAAAATGATTGCTGAAACGAATACAAAACATTTTAAGAATAAACAATGGTAGTTTTTTATCAAGTGATGACAAAACAGATTATAAACAAATTAAAGTCAGACGATTATTTTACAAAGATTTTAAACAAATAGTCTGTAAGGATTCGTAATTTGTGCAATAAGCATTAGGTTTTACTGATTTTAGACCAATAAATTGAATGAATAAAATAAAATTAAACTTTGAGTTGTTCATACAATCAACTTGTCAAAACTATTGACATGATTGAGGTCTGATAAAATCCATAGTAACTGCATGCTTATATTTTTGAAATATGTTCATTCTGGCAATAAACAAATAAACACTGGAAGAAAGTAATTGCTATGTAATTAAACAGCTATAATAATGTTATGTTTCAGTTTGGTTTTTTTTCTTTGTTTTTTTTTATAAATTTCCGATATAGAACGCTCATTATTTATTTCATTTTAACATGTATGTGTATACGTATAGATAAAAAACAAATTCGCTTGACATTTACAAACAATATTCGGCTTCGAAATTTTGACAAGTAATTATTTAAACTTGTGAGATTACTTACTTTATCTTTCTTGGCATTTTTTCTCGCCTTCCACATAAATTCTAGACATGCTATAAATAGTCCTGCTACAAGACCGCCTACTAACACTACAAAAACTCCGCCCACATGTTTAACACCCAATGAGCTAGCATCTTTCTTCTGATCGTCAACATCGCACTTTCCTCCGCTTTTTTCTTTCCACCATTTATTATATATTTTTTGTATATCCTGATTTTCTTGTAAAAATATAATCTCGCGGGATATAGCGTCCGTCCATGGTGAATCTGAAACGTATGAATACAAATATTGATTACAACATGACTAGTATAAAGTTTAAAATAAAAGACATAAGTTATAAAATGTGTGTATAAAATATAAATTTTGAGCAATCGATATCCAAAAATAATGTATACAGGCAAAACACACAAACTGTAATTGTTATTTTTTACGATGCTGTGCTTTAAATAAATCTAAACGCAATGATGCATTCAGAATGCGTTCTAATACCATCCTTGAATGGTATTTCGAATATAGAAGTTAGGAAAAGCGGAATTATTAAACTGTAATTAAGTCGTAAAAGCGTTGCAAACTCAATATGACTGAGCCTGTTCAAGAACAGCTGTTGGAAATACATGCTATCGTGAGAACCCCCTAGTACCTGCTTTATTGGAACTTAATATTTCAACATGAAAATGGTGTTTGATTCCTTTGGAAATGTGTTAATATGGATTTGATGATGAAATTTGTTTCACTAATATGACTAAATATGTACTAAAGATAAAATAAGAAATACCTTTTGGGAATGCTAAACCATATCCTTTAGAGTCTAACAATCCGCCAATCTGCTTCAATTTGCACATTCGTTGCACCTGATAGTCAATTGTGGTAGACTCAGCTATAAATGCATAGTCTGAGTTGTTGGCTCTTGCAAACCCATCTGTATTCGACTCTACAAATGTCGCATTCGGATTGTTGTTCATAAAATTAGCCATCGTTTTATATGTTTGGATATCGGAATTCTAAAAAGAAAGTAATAAAAAAACATGAATAAAAATCGTTGAAATTTTTTTCACCGAAATTCAATGTGAGTAAAACTTATAGAAATACAATAACTGGATAAGGGTTATATATTAAGTATTTTAAAATATTTTATTTAATTATTTATTTCACATATAGTATCGTATCCTCCTAATAAGCTGCCTGTTTGTGTTTATGTTTCTTAATTACTTTACTAGATAAAAGAATAATGATGGATTCGTTTTAAAATCTTTATAAAGGTTTAATGACCGTATATAAATGACTTTATAATACTGCACATTTGTAACTTTTCAATGGATAATCGTAATGTTATGGAGTTTATTCATATACACGGCTGCTACTTATGAAGAAATCTCAGTTTTTTCTAACAGAGAAGATTGCTGTATTATAAATTTGTTATTAAGATTCTTGCCAGGTTATATGGCCGTATATAACGGTTGTTTGCAATATAACCCTCGCATAGCGACTTCGGATTATATATGAAAATAACCGTTCAAATAGAACCATATTACCTGTTTAAAATCTTTATAATTATAACGTATAACCATCTTTATGCGGTTCGTATTTTTATAAGCTGATAACAGTTTTTTTATATGAACTGAATCACTTAGCAAAACGTAATAGGCCAGTTATAAACAAGAAGAGTATACTTTGATATATGGTTGTAGTTAAAGATGTAGTTTCACATTGCTTTATTTCATTAAACACTCCATTTCACTTTACATGCATATAAGCTTGGGTTGTTTTGTTTGTTTGTTTGTTTGTTGTTGTTTTTTTCCTAATAAATACATTATTGTATTTATAAATACAGAAGCAGAGGAATGTTATATTTTACTCTCGTTTGTGAATTAAATTTAAGAGACTTTTGTCCGTAATTCCCGATATTAAATAAATATAATTTGTAACAAAGAAACGTATACAAAACGTAGCCAATAAGTATTTCTGTATTTCTTATTGATTTTGAAGAAAAAATAAGTTAAAGAGGGCGTAATTTATTCTTAACATCAAATGTGTTACCATAAAGAATTCTTTCGTTGAGCCAGAGCCTAAAGTTCCATATCTGATCTTGGTTTGGCTAGATAAGTCCTCCACACTTTTGATCGGTGACACGTATTGTTCTACAACTAGAAATGCGGCGAGGTTTGCCGTGTACGTGGACACCATGATCAGTGTAAATAAGTACCAAGAACTTGCGAGAATCCTTCCAGATGCTGACGTCGGTGCTAAATCACTTCCTACGTAACATTGGAACTTGCAGTAACGTATTCTCGTCATATTGTTTTAGTACTTGATATTGTTTACTATTAAATCTACATTTGCGCACTCTTAATCAATTAGTTTGTTAGAGAAAACCTTGTGATATATGGTATATTAATGTTTATGGAATTACTAAGCGTACTGTTTAATTACCACAAAAGTTTTAATCTAATACATTTTTTCATGAATTATTTGTTATTGTTATTCACTCATTTTGTCTAAATATAATAAGTTATTGTTATGCACCCATTTTGCCTAATATACTAAGTTATACTGTGTGTTATTTTCACACGCTTATTTTGTTTGAATATCATAGATTAAGCTATTTTTATAATAAAACGTTTTGAATATTAATAAGATTATTTTTTACACAACCATCAAGCTTGAATATCAAAAGCCATTTCTTAGTGTTATATTCTCATTTTGTAAGAAAATCTTCAATCTTATAAACTATTTTAACGATATAGGTAATATGTTACTTCAGACTGTCATTTACCGTGGATGTCATAAATTCTATGTTATAGCTCTCACATATATTGCATGTGAAATTTATGTTATACATGTAATTACCTTTCATTTCACTTAACAATGGTAAGTTATTTCATTTATTACATGTTATTGTAGATATTGGTTTCCGGCTGCAACCAATGTTAATGTATATGAGTAAGAATTAATTTATCTCGTACATGGGTTTAATTATCCTGTTGCCTTCTCATGCTCTTAATCAAAGCGCTGTGATCACTTTAAATAGCCTATAAAAATCGTTTTTATCAAAGTCGTTGCATGATACCGTTTCTCGAATCACATTGATACTTGATTTTAATATTGGAAACTTTTAAAGAAAATGCGTTTTGTCAGAAGTACAGTCAGACTTTTTTGATTTTCCCATTTTGCAAGTTTGAAACATTTTGCGGAAGCTTATTCTGTTTGACAGAACGGTCGTTTCGATTATGCTAATATTTGTAAAACAATAACAACTAAAAAATCAACTATTCCTCTTTAGTAACAAAAATATTGAAAAATTACTTTATGTTGACGGCAGAGTTTTTTTTATAATTCATGTCCTTTTTTCCATGTTTCTTTCTGAACAGATCAGCATACATACATACCTCAAAGAATGCTCTTGTAGTACCGGAATTCAATGTCCCATATTTGATTTTAGTTTGTTTAGCTAGGTCGTCTACACTTTCTATAGGTGAAACCATACGTTCTACAGTTAGGAAAGCAGCGAGATTGGCGGTATACGATGAGATCATGATGAGAGTGAAGAACCACCAAATACACGCCACAATTCTCGTCGAGATTGCACGTGGTGCTATCTCACAACCTGTGCAAATTAGTATTAGTAAAAGCAGTGTTAAAATATGTTTATTATCATAGTAAGCATTATATTGTTTTCGAGTTCATTGATAACAGACTTATACTGGTTATAGTCTTTTTTTTTATTCATGTCCTGCTTTGCATTTGGAGTGGTCACAACAGGCCAGAGTTAGTCTAAATTATAATAGTATGAAAATACTTGAAATGGCATTAAACAGTAACAATCATTTCGAAATTGCACGATAGTGCCAGAAGCAGGAGCCAATATTTAGGGAAAAGGATTACATTAATGGTAATAAGGAGCCATTGACCAGATAAGTCCGTTATCAAAAATATTATATAAAAATTTTGCACCACACATATATAATTCACGTTAATAAACACGCTTCTAACTTAATAAAATTTTGAATAATATTTAACAGCATTTACTCGTGTGTACCAATAAATAATTAGAAGTCTGAAAAAGGCAAATTTTCATCAATAAGAAAGATTTTATAGTTATATTAAAACCTCTTCATTCTAACTATGTTAAAATTAACATAATGTCAGATTAAGCATGTAAAGCAATTTAGTTAAAAAACGCACACACGTTTAGCAAACTATACATAAAATATAGAACATTCAATTGCTTTTTACTATGTCTAAATAAAATTAATCTTAACAGTAACCATAAACGATTTAATCCAACATCATATAAAAATTTATTTTGAACATTTGCATCAACTTTCATTATACTTGGTGATTTGTGGTGTGTACTGTTTAATGTTTAACTGTGTAAATTGTCCGTTTGAATTGTATTTAATTGTCGTGTTAAATATGCAATAAGTAGGGTTCATAGTGACGTTGTAGTGCTTAAGAGTAATTTAATGTTTTCATGTCACAATATCCAGTTTTCTAGTCAGTATGTCGTGTTACTTTGTGTCGTGTCACTATGCTATGTTTTCTAGTCAATTTGTCGTGTATTAAGTGTCATGCCACTATGTTGTGTTTTCCTATCATATTGTCGTGATTTCGTGCTAGGAATAACACAAATCAGCAACTATATATTTTTAATATAATTTGAAATAAAAAATCAGTTATGAAATAGCATCAATATAATTCATTTATATGGACTGGAACGACAAAACGACGACAAAATAACGACATACCTTGCTGCATAAGAGATCCAATAGTAAACCATAAACTGTTACATATAGTAAACTGATTCTCTACAAGATCCGAATCTTCGTTGCAAGGATGAGGGTTGGTCCATTCGTAAGGACTAAATCTGTGAAATAAATAAAGACATTTTCATAGTTTGTAAAGTTTGTGACACTGAAATTATAAAACTAAAACTTGAACCATCTTGTCATATTTATAACATTCAGAAAACTGCGTTTTACACGCAGTGCTCAACATTTCGACAAAGGGAGATTATTCAAGCAGTAACTGCTTTGAAAAGGAATTCCTTCCCTTTACAATTAATAAGTATATTTCGTATGACGACTATATGGCAGTCATACTTCAAAATGTATTCTGCACTTAATAAATGAAAGATGTGTCAGCTTGCGAGATCTTCTACCTGAACGTCCAGTGCAGACCAAGATCGACCAGCACATCTGTGACGCCTGATCATGGTCTGCACTGTCCACGTTTCGGTCACTTGTTCCTAACTATATGAATAGTCTTGACCATAACTAACTGTGGACAAGCCAATGTAAGATATTTAGCATTTAAGTGTAAAACAATCACAAAATTATGCATAGGTAATATAGTACATATACCGGTATTTTCTCTACAGACTCACTTACTGGTCTTTGACAGAAACTCCATTATTTATAAAAGATTCTTTGTTACATACTCATTCTACTAATGTATTCACGAAACAAATACCCAAACATATTACCTTGCTATCACGAACAGCATAAAGCTAACACACAAATACGCAGCGACCATATAAATCCACACATCTATTGAGAGAGGTGAAGAGAAAGAGAACAACTCTGGGGGCGCTTTAGTCGGTTTCTTGTAGACCACAGTTATACCGAGATTAAGAAACGGTTTTGTAAAGTCTAGAATCTTCTCTCGTTCATATGTGATTGTCATACCAGCGGCCGCCATGTCTGCTTTCTGAAAGAGAAGAAAATATAATCAGTGTAGCTTACAATGTCGCAAATCTTAACACAAAAATATAAAGTTAATAATATATAGGTAGTAACGACAGCGAATAGACCATGAATTTTTTTCCGTACAAGTAATTGATATTTGGCAAACACTACACAGGCGTTCGTATTACTTTTTCTTCCTCTTTTTATCATAAACGTGCTGAATTTTTGTAATGAACTGCACACCGTCAAATATAGAACACTCCATTTAAAGAAAGTAATTTTAATATCAAATTACAAAATGGAGGTACCAACAGTAGCTGGCCCTATACTAGTGGTAAGGCGTTATCACTTCCGGTTCATTTACAGATATAATACAATAATAATACAATACATTTGATTTCATAAAATTATATTTCATAAATCATATCACATTTTATCATTCTTTTCAACTGTTAAATATACTTGTTTTGTTTTTGGTCTTGTTTTCTTGTTGTTGTTTTATCTGTGTTTTTTGTTCTTTTTGTCGCTGTTGTTGTTTTGTTTTTATCCAGAAACATTAAGTGCAGTATCATTAGTTCTGATCGTTTTCTGCTCGGACTTTATTTTATAACCGTTTATATACATTACGTGTTTATGTACAACGTTAATAATTTTCAATACCATTTTTTGTACTTATTTGTTTATTTACAACGTTAATAAATTTATATAATTATTTACCTCCTTAGGATCTCGTTTCAACAGATCTCCGATCATACCATTCCATACACCATTCACTTCTGAACCGTATTTCTTATCAGCAACTTCGTATATTGTATAATTAAAGCCAAGTCGACTTTTTATGAGGTCCAGTAAATCTACAATAAAACCTTCATGCGTAGGACCTTTACCCTCCGGATTCTTCTTCAGCGTAAGGTAGGGCGGGTCCTTAAATAAAGTGTAAAATGTCAATCAATTAATCTATGTCATTAAATTTATAAAAAAAATAAATACACAATAGAAAGGCTTTTATCTCAGAACTCATAAGCTGAATAAGTACAGGCTAAATCTATTAACTGAAATTGCAAATATTTTGGAACTTTTTCAAGTGCTTATTTTAAGAGAATGCTGGATTAAATACCAAATTAAGCCCCAAACATTTTAGAGCCTGGTAGGACTACGTATAGACATGTACCTTTACTGCTGACGTTAGCAAGGTGACGTAGGTATGACGTCATAGAAACAAACTTACATAAACTGTTACAATACGTAACGTCGTGTTGTTGAGCTTCTCATTTGTCTCCTTCCTTCTATCCTTGAATGATTTAGTAATTTTAACTCCTTCCTTCGGCTCCCAGTATCCAATCTGCAAAATGAATGATTACATAAAATACATCATTGAAAAAAACCCGACATATTTCTTTATATCAAGAAAATAAGCGTTTCTTTCTGGTGTTATTCTGATACGGAAAGGTGCATTCTAATAAGGAAATTTGTTTCCATGTATTTACCTTCAATATAAGTGCATTTAACAGAAGGAAAAAAAAAACATTTGCTAAAAGCAGTATTTACGCATGCGCAGACACAGGGATATCAATTGTGATGATAAACATATATACTATACTTACTTTTCTAAGCCCAGACTGTGACAGTTCGATTATGTCTAAATTGAAATCAGTGCGCTTTCCTTTCTCACAAATAATATCACCGGATAACCCTTTCACCTCCATCTAAATATAGAGGAAATAACATGTTTATTATACATGTTCAAATACATAAATAACGCTAAAATTAAGAATATATAAATGCGTTCATAGTGCTACATTTTACAGTTTATTGTACAAATGAAAATTATGCCAATGAATTAAAAACATTTAAAAACAAAGGTATATTTAAATAGGTTGATACCATATTTATATCATGATATATATTCAATACTATCATCTGTATATCACTTACTATCGGTCTTATGTTTAGTACTATTAAATGAAAATGAGGTGCCATTGATTTTCATTGAACAAAAACGGATTTCTTTTCATATTTCAAATGAATGAAACGTATATCATTTAACAAAATGACACATTTTTTACTTTCAATTGACATATACATAATCATACAAACTTTTCTACAGGCTTTGTTTTAAAAAAGATAGGAGTTTCACAACAAAAAGTCATTGACGTCGTTAAGAAACACATTTCACAAAATAAAAGGCAACTGTCAGAAAGTATGAAAGTTATAATGAAATAGAAATAAAATTTGATACGAGCTCTGTGGAATCATGCAAGCTGTGCATTAAAATGGCATGTAGAATAGAGATAACTTAGATTTGAATGTCATTTATACCAGAATCTTTGAAATGTTTGCAGGGTGAAAATTGTGTTTTCATTGATAAGACAGTGTCACGCAAAGCCAATTTGAATTCTTTGTAAATGTGAATGTCGGTTTTGACAAGAAACTTTTTTGTATCTAAGAAAGATGTTACACCGGAAAGAAAAAAAACAACTGACGTTGAATTCAACATTCCATTAACATAGAATAAAGCTAAATAATCAGCAGAAATATTATTCGACATAATACTTTATTTCTTTATTACGATTATTATTCTTAAAATATAATTATCAAAATGAAGCACTCAATGTACATTGCTTTATGATAGATAGAAATGTTTGTGTAACAATGATGCCTTTATCTTGCTAATTTAAACGCCTACTTAATTACCATGCACATAAAAATAAGCCATGCAAAAGTGTACAATGATAATTAAATTAAGACTTCTAAATTGTAACCCTTTCTTACCGATTTCATGTAGTTGAGAAGACTGTTGCCATACTGCCAGGTTTGTTTCTTATTACAGGACAGACCGACTGTTTCAAACTGCTGAGCCACTGTCAGTTCAGACAAAGCCTTTGCAAACAAATGCACAGCGTCGTACATCAAGGCCACTTCCGTCTGCAACACGGAACCAGAATTTATCAAAGGGAGATAATTCGTGTGCCGCAAAATGATAAAAAGTAACTATAAGTTTTCGCTCATGGTTTCGTTGAAACAACAAATGTTCTATTAAATATTTTTGATGACAAGCCAAATCTCTTTCCGTATTTTTTAAAAGACAATTTTAATAACAGAAAACCATGTTTGATACTTTATTAAAAAATAACAAACCGTTTAAACACAATAAAAGGAGAAAATATTAAAAAGATACCTTTTTATTACACGATATCGCTTGAACTCAGGGAAATATTGTAATAACTAAGGTCGTTAAAGAACACATAAATAAACGTATTACAAAATGCTTGTATAATGATGGTAATGATCTTACAATATAGCCTTATAAAAACCATGTGATATAAAGATTCTTAAACAAATTGTTATTTCAGATTTATTTAAAATACGTCCAAGAAGTATATCTCCACGTAGTTGCTATAGTACTTTCCAACCCATAGCCTGATGGTTGAAACGAATTCAACAAAGGCGACCAGTTCAGAATAATATCAAGCGGCACTTTCGTCTCCCCTGATCTTTTTCAGCACTAGGCGCGTTTCGGTCAGTATGTGTTTTGAATTGTTCCTTTGAAATGATATGAGCCACGTCACGACAAACCAACATAATGGGTTTGCGACCAGCATGGATCAAGACCAGCCGGCACCTCCGCGCAGTCTGATCAGGATCCATGCTGTTCGCTATCAGTTTCTCTACTTGTTATACGGTTTGTAAGCGAACAGCATAGATCCCGACCAGACTGCGCGGATGCACAGGCTGGTCTGGATCCATGCTGGTCGCAAACGCACTATGTTGGTTTTGTCGTGACGTGGCTCATATGAAATGTGATGATTATTGGTTTTGTATAGTTTGAAAGGAGCACAAGTCAATTTAAGATATCAGTCCTGATAAGGATAAATATAAGTTGTTATAATCTATTGACAACTCCTGTTGGATCATATACAATTCAATGATTACACACAGTTTCCCCCCTTTTTAAATGACCAATCATACCCCTTATATAAAATAATTTAAAGCACTGCTTACCCTGAGATATTGGCCGCGTTCTAAAGGCGTGGGCTGGTTACCATTATCAGATAAATTGATAAAATCCTGGATCACCTCCCGGACCTCTTTCCTCGAAGGATCAATGAGCCTCATGGCGGTGATGTTGGCACCACTATATTTGTAATCCTCCAGGTTCACGATATCCAAATCCTGTACAAATATACATCATTATTTAGAGATAAAATCGCATCCACTTTATAATATTAAATCAATTTCAATATCTAAAATAGAATTGTCTCCTAGGTGTCATTACGCATTTCGCGCAAGAAGTAATAAACTCATTGGAAAACATTCATTCTTGAAATAGAAAAAGATCCGTCAAGAACGTTTAGAACAAATATTAAAAGGGCGAATATAATCATTACTGACTCAGTTTCAGTAAGCCTGAACATCATCCCGCCCCCTGCTAGTCAATAATACTATTAAATTAAGAAATCATCACTTTATAGATAAGAATAAATTAATATAAAACATGATTCTATTATTTGGCATAAAAAAATCTTAACGCAACTTATAAAAATCAAATATGGGCAATAAATGCCTTAAACGTTTAACTATGTTTATTATAGTAAAATAACATTCTCGTAACTGGCAATTGACGAAGATGAATACATCTCATTAAAATATGGCACATCTTGCAAATACATGCTTTACAAGTAATATATTATTTGGTTTTAAATTAAGGAATAGTACGGTATACTTCAATGGACACCTTATTTATTTTCTTACCAGTGTTGTAAAATGGAAATGGTACAGCTCTGATAACATGTTTACTTTCAATGCCTGAAAAACGAAAAGAAAAACAACACATTAAAATATATAGGAAAAAGCAAATATGTATCAATGTCATTAAATTTACAATAAAACAATATGGCCTAACCAGAACGATTTTTTCAAAGTTGGTCCATTCAGCAGGTTTTAACAGATATAATCCTCCGTGCTTATATTATCATTTATATCATAATAAGCAAAACTTTGGTCTACTGCTTAGGACTTAAATGAAATATCGGGTTTTATTTAAATCATATGCAAACCTGTTGTCCACTCTGTTGCCTATGATGTAAAATGATGCATCGGGCTTTCATTTAAATCATAAGCAAAATGTTTGCCACTGGGAAGTGTTCGTCGAAAATGGTATCTAGTTTTGTGCATTAAAATGGTATCATTTCGGGCTCAAACATTGCACTTTGCAGACGATAACACATGGGAAAGTTATATCAAACTAGAAAGGCCTACTACTTAAATAATGAAATAAATAAAGGAACGCTTCAAGTTCAGGCAATAATGTCCATTTGTATTGATAAGTTTTGCTTCAAAAGCGTATCAAACGTTTTACTAATAACATAGAATATTACTTGGGACGACTGCCGTACAAAATAATTTCAATTGCTTAATTTATTCCTATTTGTTTTGAATGTGGTTCTTTCTATTCGTATAATATCCTGCGCACAACAATTTGATGAATGCAATGATATTTCATATCTAAAGATAAATCATCTTCAGATATCATGATGCATTCTCATTCCTTTGTCTGAGAATTCTTAACCTTCGTTTTGCACCTACATATCATTACATATGTGAGCTGATAAACCCGTTTCACCCGTTACATAACCGTGTACACTTCCCACGATACACTAGAACGAAAACATTGGACAATAAAACAATAAAATAAATCGGAAAATTTTGAATATCTGAATGGCAGTTGTAAAACATGAATGGCTTTTTGGCAAACGCTAATATGCGCTGCAGTACATTTGAAATACAATATGGCTCCATATGAAATAACATGTTAAATGCACGTGATAAAACATAACGAACAAGTCATTGTGTTCAAAATGATCACTTTGACGTAAACAAGTGAAAACATGCAATAAATATATTGTTATAGTTCATCATTTTTTTCTGCATCTGTGAAGGTCCAGTTTATCAAAGAAATGCATTACCTTTTCATTTCGACGTTCTTAATATCAACTTGTAAAATACAAATATTTCAAATACGAAATATAAGGTATGTACTTTGCACTATCAATATGATTAATAACTAAAACAAGTAATGAAGAATGGTGTGGAAAACTTATCGCTCTTAAAATTTCTATTTTTCAATAAAACGTGCATACCAATTACCATTTCTTTATTCTATTGGAAAGTATTTTGATTCCAATCAGCATGCGTTTATTGAAACAGATGTTTATGTCTTAAATTCGACATATCAAAACGATCTAGTATATCAAACCAAAAGAACGATTTAATGATATCATTATTTCGAAATATTTCTGACATTTTAATGCCATAATTTATTTACCAAGCAGTTTCACATCACAATGATTGAAGGCTTTCTAGTGATGAGAATTTAGAAGGGTATAAAAAAGCCAGATAGGCTTATCAGTCGATATCATTTGCACGTGCATGATTGAAGACAACACTGGGTGTCTGTGCTTCTTCACAATTGTCATGTTTAACTTGAGAAAACAAACGAACATGAGAAAACCGTGTACTTTAACCTGCAAAATTTGTGAAAAAGTGTTGCTATTCTTTCAATCTGTATTTCAATAATATATCAAATATTATTACAAATTTAATTGAAAATCTTCAAAATGTTTGTGTACTTTGGTATTAAAGCAATTTTGGCCAATACGAAATACGTTTTTAGCCTAATGGGAAATCTGAGGGTTACATAAAGCATTCTTCTAAATTCATATATTGCTATCTGTGTTGCAGTTTGTGTGTTTTACAGGTTGTGTTTTTATGAATATTTCCCGAAATAAATACGATACAATACGTCATAATACTTACCTCATGTAGAAGAGGCTGAACTTTATTGACGTCACAGTCAACTATTATATGGTATTCCCCTTTTTCTTTCAAGTCTTTAAACATTGTTATATATGTGTTCTGAAAAGGGTCCAGCCGACGTACTGTAATCTTTTGCTCGCTTTCTTTCGTAGCCTTTAGTACTTCTTGCAGACGAAGTAAACCTATAAAAAACGTAAAACGTATTTCATATTAATATCACATTTTTTATAATTTAAATAATTTTCAAAGAAACAACTTACGAAGAGATGGAAGTTGCATTTTAATAATTACATGTACATAGTTCCATGTCATCACAAAGCAGCTAAACTTATGGCTGCTTTCAATATTTAAACATAATCAGCTATTGCTCGTAGAAAATCGATTTAGCTTTGAATGATTACGAGAAACTCGAATTAACGCTTATCATTAATTAAAATGGGTTTGCTACAAAAACTGTTTAAAAGATCGTGATATCTGATAATATTCATATTTTCTACAGACTTTATTGCATTATATAAGTACTGGTCCTAAGAACTATCCGCTATTTATAATCTAAACATACTTTCAAATTGCTAAATCATAATACAATTGTACTTCTATAAAAGACAAAGTATATCAGGGCAATAAATATTTTTAAATTTGAAATTCAAACATGTATTTTATGAATATATTATTGTCAGTTATACATATTGTTTTCTTTAACGAAGAAAATATACAGTTTCAGACACGTGTTTTTCGTGTATTTTCTATTATTTGATTAAAAACATATTGATTGAATAATTTAGATACGTATCTGCACATTTTCCATAGCAAATGTGTGTTAATTGTATAACCAGATTTGTTCTATATATCTGCTAAAGCAATTTGCAGTCGAGAATTAAATCGCTTAAAAGCCACAGAATTTAAAGTACAGTGGAATAAAGTTCGGATTGGAGAGGTACCTGGAAATTTTATAATTCTAAAACTAATTTATATATTCGAAACTAATACATTGGCAATTGCATTATATTCATTGTACTTCTTTGTAAATATATATGTATAATAATAATTATAATGAATAAATATTTTATTTCTTATGCATTTGACCTTCACTCAAAAATGAGGCTAAGTGTTTACGGAAAGGTGGCTGTTATTGCGATAACATTCATATACATGCTATGTGTCCGTAAGAGATATTATCCTCCAAAAGATGTAATTGCTTTGTACATAGCCATCTCTGATAGCAATATCTACCCGGAATTTATAAGTTCATACTAAATGCTTGTGACACTTACATGCTATATATAGGTGACCTTTATACAGGAAGTACACTTCTTGCATTTATCTAATGATTTTATCGCAGACGAACAATTGCCCACTTCGTAATGCACACAATGATAGTGAGGTCATTTTCTTTCAGTCGTATGATGCTGACTGACCAAAGTGTACATAAAGTACAGTTTTATATTCTTACGAGTTGCTAAACTGACAAATGCATATCCGATGAATATTCACCTAAGCTCGGACTTTGATAGCGAATTTCGGCAAATGTAAACTAGTTTTAAAACAGTGAACTAAAAATAGCAAAAACATGGATATAGATGACGTAAATATGATCGGATTCGTCATATTCAGTGTAATTTTATTCTTCGGAATTCCGGGAAATATTATATCAATTGTCGTCTGGGCAAAGGGAGACCACTGCAGCAAATCATCAAGTGCAATCTATTTTAAACTTATAGGCGTGTGCGACCTGCTTGTTCTTATTGTTCCAGGAATCGATTACTTTATGTTCTTTTACCCGTGGGATAGAATGGACCTAAGGGTGACGAACGATTTCTTTTGCAAATTCTTCACGGCGGCATTTTTCATCAGCGTAGATATAACAGTTGGAATTACTATCGCGCTGACCATTCAAAGGGCTCTGACAATTTCGTTTCCCATACGTTCACTGCAAAACAACGTTCATAAACGTGCTTACGTCATCTTTGTCGTCATAGTGTGCGTTGCGTTTATTCTAAGCCTTCCATATATTATAGCGGAGAAAGTGATTGATCTAAAATACTTAGAAACCAACTCGTCTACAAATTCAACCTCTGTGATCCTCTATAAAAAGTGTACATATCCTAATGAAACTTCAAAATATATAAAACCCTATAACACGGCACACTTCAGCTGTCACGTGATCATTCCGATTATCATTCTGACGATTTGCAATGGCGTCATTCTCCGAACGCTATATAAGGACAGAAATGAAAACTTACGTACGGATTGCCAAACTATTAAGAAGAGTATTCACACGGTAACAGCGTTAGTTATATGCATAAGTTTCGTCCATATTCTATCCACGTTACCAATGACGTTGCACGTTATTAACTTGTATTACGAAATTCAGATGACGGACTTTTGGGTGGCGTTTTCCAACTTGATTATACAAAATTTGATATTTTTGAATAGCGGCATAAACTGTGTCCTGTATTGCTTTATTGGGAGAGAGTTCCGTACAGACTTGAGAAAAATGTGTGTGAACGTTTATCAGAATTGCAGAAGGAAAGACCGGGATCCACTGCATGCGTCTCGAACGAGTGTTTTTAATACGCATTGTCGTACAGCTGTGTGATTATTTTTAATGATTTGTGATATTATTTTATAGATTTTTAGATTTTATTCAAGTAAGTTCCAAAAGGTCATAAACCCACGAGGACAATTTATTTACAAGTAATCAACATATTAACATAAAATGAATACATGTATTAAGAAATCAGCAGTTAAGTACATAATAGATATTTACATTATTATCTGCTACAATTCATCCGAAGTAAATGTTAGCATACATATTTTCTATTTCTATATAAAATCAATGCACATTATTATAAATTTACTTAATACAATAACATGTGATAACTGTATATACATGTATTCACTAGCACAAATAGAATAGTAGCAAAATGTATGATCGTCGTATCAAAGTATATTTCTCGGATACTACTACCAGATGAACGGATAGATAGTTGATTAATTAACCTTTGTATGTTGGATTGAAATAATAACAATGATAAATACATGGTACAATTTAATGTCTGAATATTAAAAGTATGCTTGTTCTAATTTTGAAAGCTTTATTGACAAAAATACTCTTCTTATTTTCATATTTCTTATTACATTGTACTTTCAAGTTCTCAGAATTAAATAGCTCTGTTAATTTTAACATATTTGGACATCTTCAATAATAACCAGATATATACTTCTTTCGTAAGAGATTATACATTACACATTCTAAAACAAAATGATATTCATCTTCTATTACATTGCAGTTGTAACATATTCTTTCGTTCAAAGGAGGGCATTTAGGTTTCGTCCACCTTCCCATTTCAATATTCAATCTATGACACGATACCCTTTATTTTGAAATAGACATGCGACACTTTCTTATGTTAATTAAGCTTAAATATGGCTAAAGCTGAAAATTTGAAATGCACCTATTAAAAGTAGCTCTACTCTGCTATCCAATTCTGTAAAAAAAAAGATCTTTAATTCCTTGCTTCTCTAGAATCAAAAATACATTTGTGTTTCCAACAGTTTGGAAAAGCCGTGCATCATAAAAACCAAGATTACTAAGTATATTTCTTACTAGAGAGCACTAGTTTTTGTGATTAGGATTATTGTCTATATCTTCTTTTAACAAAAGTTACACTTTTCTAACATATTTATGATCATTTAGATTCACAAATTTAATTATGTTGAAATATCTTATATTTTGAAAAGAAAGCCTACACAGTTTACCATAAATGAAATCGTTTTGAGTCGTTTATTTAACCCCTAACATATTTTAACATATTTTTACGGAACTGCATGTGCAACCTTTCAATAGCTTTTCCAGGTATAAACCCCAAAACCTCGGAACTATAATTAAGAATAGGAGAAACACGTTGTCAAAATGTTCTAACCTATGTTTGCCAGATATATCTGTAAATTTAAATAAATACTTATTCATTCTAAATGTTGCCATTTGTGGCCTGTCCAGCAAGTGCACTTTGAGCTTCAGAGAAAGAACCGCCGATTGTAAAAACAAGTGAACTTACAATTTCAACAGGATTACCAGTATAACTAAACGAAATGTTACTTTGTAAACGGCCACCTTTGCGGAAAATAATGACTTTAGTTTATCTGAACTAACAACAAGTTTCCACTTGCAACAATATTCGTATAATGCATCTAAACTATTTTGTAATTCAATACAACTATTTGCAAATATAACAGTATCATCTGCATATAAGGTTAAAAACATTTTAAACATGTGAACATCAATGCCTTCAAAACATTTATCAATAAATATATCTTCTTAATCATTAAGAAACATTGCGAAAAGAAAGGGAGGCACATACTCGCCTTGTCGTACACCTAACATACATTAAAATTGCTCACTTATTTGGTTATAATATTTAACTCTAGATTTAACTGCTGAATACATAGATATAATGATGTTGAACATGTTTCCACGAATACCTAACTTAATCATTTTTTAACCATAAATGATCTCTGACAATATAATCAAAGGCTTTACTAAAATCAATAAATGCACAAAAAACGTTGTTTCCCGTTATTTAACATATGACTAATAAGACCATGAAGTACAAAAATATTATCTGTAGTATCCATTTTTGACCTAAACCCCGATTGCGGCTCAACATAAACACCGTATTTTCCCGCCCAATCTGTTAACCTATTATCCGCGTAAATAATTTCCCTAAGGTACTTAACAGTGTTAATCCTCTATAATTGCTTTCATCGTTAATATTGCCCTTTTAAGTAATGGACCACCATATATCCCTCTGACAAACTTTCCGGAAAATATCAAATATGAGCGAGCGTAAAGAGCATATATTAAAAAGCAGTATCGGTCAATAATCGTGTCGTCATTAACACAAAATGGTGTCCACAAACTTTGACATTCACTTATATATGTCAGTGTATGTGGTATGTTCCCTTGTGAACAGAACTGGAAGTCATTTTCACTGGAGTAGATATATGATGGAATTAATGCATTTACGTGACATGTCAACTCAGCAACGTGCTTGGCAAGTTATGTAATACTTTGGCAAGTAATGTAATACAGCGAAATGTGGGCAAAATGTACGTGTTATTGACGATTTAGTCTGTGTGTTCATCGAAAAAAGAAACATTTTGAAAGAACGTTCTGTGTTAAAATGGAAGTTGATGACATAAATATTGTTAGATTTTGCATTTTGAGCGTTATTTTGTTTTTCGGAATTCCCGGAAATGTCATGTCCTTTGTTGTTTGGACAAAGGGAAAGAACTGTAGCAAATCTTCGAGTGCAATATACTTTAAATTATTAGCAATTTGTGACTTACTTGTACTTTTAATTCCTGGAGTTGATTTCTTTGTTTATTTGTTTCCAAAATACAACAAAGATCTTCGAGTAATTAATATTTTCTTATGTAAGTTTTTAACTTTTGCTTCTGTGTATACGAGGGATATTTCCCTGGGCGTGACTTTTGCCTTGACTATAGAAAGGACAATAACTGTGTGCAGACCGTTCAGTGCTTATAATGACAACGTCAGAAAACGTGCTTACATAATATTTACAATAATTACGTCACTAGCGTTCATCCTTAACACGCCATACCTCATCGTAGACGAGATAACGGATTTAAAACAAAATAGAAACACGACGACTGCAGCCAATACGTCGGAGAGTAATTCTTATAAAAAATGTACATATATGAGGGAACCAGTTCATGTAAAGGAAATTATTGAGTTATATAACACCATTCACTTCAGCTGCCACGTGATTATACCAGTTCTCGTGCTCACGTTCTGCAATAGTTTAATTCTTCGGACGCTGTGTAAAGACAAGAAACAAAGCGCCCAAAGAGGCGCTAATACCATAAAGAAAAGCATTCATACTGTTTCATTACTGGTTATTTGTATAAGTATTATCCATGTATTGTCAACTTTACCGATGTCTTTACGCGTTATATCGCTTTATCACGAATTTAATTTAAACGAATTTTGGACCGATTTTGCTAATCTTGTAATACAAAACTTACTCTTTCTGAATAGTGGAATAAATTGTGTTCTGTATTGTTTTATTGGTATTGAATTTCGTCAAGATTTAAGAAATTTGTGTAAAACATGCTGTGCACGTGAAACACTGAAAGAAGAACACTTTTGAGCAGAAGGACAGTTTCAAAATGAAAAGATAACTGACTGATGAATTTAATACATAATATGGCATTGCGTATTCATTGAAAACTTTATTTGATTACTAACCGATGTGTCTGCTTATCAAATAGTCATATGGTTAACTTTTCATGAGTGTATTTAAAGTGTATAAAGCTACATATATATCATAAAAAGCAAAAATTATTGTTTGAATTTTAAAAAAAAAATCTTCCAAAATGTTTATATGAAGTGATTGTGGAAAACTGGGCGGTGCTTGCACGAAATAATTGTTCAACGGATAGAAAACCTACTTAAAATAGCAAAATAATATTTTGTTCAGGAACATTTTATTTTGTTTATGTAATGTTCATATGTGTTAAATCACAGAGGCATTCTATGTTTAAACTCTTTTGAGAATCGATCATAAGATTATGGAATTAATGTAATTTTTACTGTTGATAATATTTTGTAAATTTTTTTAAAAAGATATAGCTTTATTCCCCCTAACCTTGACTCATGCAGTCGTTGATTGTGTATATATTTGTTCTTACTATAGTTCATCAGTAAATTATAAATACAATCATCATGAACATGTTTTTTTTTACTTATTTTTTTTAATCTATTTTGTTATTGTTGTTGATGTTGTTGTTATTTCCATTTAAAACGTTTAATTCTGAATTAGTTGTTAATAAAATTATTTCAAATTTAACTAAAAAACTCGTGTTTGAATTTTTATATTAGGCCTTCCGTATATTATAGCAGAAAAAGTGACTGATATAAAATACTTAGAAACCAACTCGTCCACAAATTTAACCTCTGTGATCTACTCTAAAAATTGAAACTTCAAAATACATAAAACCCTATAACACGGCACACTTCAGCTGTCACGTGATCATTCCGATTATCATTCTGACGATTTGCAATGGCGTCATTCTCCGAACGCTATATAAGGACAGAAATGAAAACTTACAGACGGATTGCCAAACTATTAAGAAGAGTATTCACACGGTAACAGCGTTAGTTATATGCATAAGCTTCGTCCATATTCTATCCACTTTACCAATGACGTTGCACATTATTAACTTCTATTACGAAATTCAGATGACGGACTTTTGGGTGGCGTTTTCCAACTTGATTATACAGAATTTGGTCTTTCTGAATAGCGGCATAAACTGTGTCCTTTATTGCTTTATTTGGAAGGAGTTCCGTACAGACTTGAGAAAAATGTGTGTGAACGTTTATCAGAATTGCATAAGGAAAGGCCGGGATCCATTGCATGCGTCTCGAACGAGTATTTTTAATAACCATTGCCGTACAGCTGTGTGATTATTTTTAATGATTTGTGATATTATTTTATAGATTTTTAGATTTTATTCAAGTAAATTCCAGAAGGTCATACACCTACGAGGTCAATGTATTTACAAGTAATCAACATATTAATATAAAATGAACATAAAATGAATACATGTATAAAGAAATCAGCAGTTAAATACATAATAGATATTTAAAGCCACTGACCTCCAGATTGTAAAATGAAAAAAAAATGAAATAAAATTTCAAGTAAACAGTAAATACTGATCTAGTTAGGTTTATTGTATAAATCCATCATTACTGACACCTTGATTCAAGAAAGAATGTTGACAAAAGCGTTAATATATCGGGTTTTTCTTTTCCATAATCTACTACGTTACTAACGCAGTAGCCAATATAAATAGGAGAAGATAATTCATTTAACGCGGTCACGTGTCACAACAGTGGTCCGGAAAAATCCCGGTATCCGGTATGCCCGGGATCGTTTATCAATTTTCGTCATTGAGTAGGCCCCTATCATATTTCAAGCTAAATGTTAAATCGATGAATTGGTCGTCATATATATGAAATAATTAATCAATTACAATTTTTAGTGCCATGAATTACTACAAATATAAAAACAAAAGCAGTTATTCGTAATCCTATATGTTTGATAAAATCCCGGATTTCGTGCGTTCCGGAGCACAGGTCTCGATAATGTCCTGTACGATCACGAGATACTAGAAAAAAAAACAGGATTAAAGGATTCCGTTGTATAATAAAAGAAGGTATTTCCCGATGGTGGAAAAGTGAACTGTTTGTTTTCAAAGCAATAATGTTAAGATATAAACATTTTGAAGTGTCATTTCGATTTCATGATTTTGAGGGGGGGATTTTGAAATATTAGCAAGACGGCAGTTTTTCTGCTATTTTCTCGAGGTCAGCTGCTTTAACATTATTATCTGCTACAATTCATCCGAAGTAAATGTTAGCATACACATTTTATATTTCTATATAAAATCAATGCACATTATTATAAATTAACTTAATACAATAACATGTGATAATTGTATATATTCACTAGTACAAATAGAATAGTAGCAAAATGTGTGATCGTCGTATCTATATATAATTCTCGGATACTACTACCAGATGAACGGTTAGATAGATAATTAATAAACCTTTGTATGTTGGATTGAAGTAATAACAATGATAAATACATGATCAAATTTCATGTCTGAATATTAAAAAAGTATGCTTGTTCTAATTTCGAAAGCTTTATTGACAAAAATACTCTTCTTATTATCATATTTTACATTGTACTTTCAAGTTCTCAGAATTAAATAGCTCTGTTAATGTTAACATATTTGGAGGTCTCCAATAATAACCAGATATATACTTCTTTCGTATGAGATTATACACTGCACATTCTAAAACAAAATGATATTCATCTTCTATTACATTGCAGTTATTACATATCCTTTCATTCAAAGGAGTGCATTTAGGTTTCGTCCACCTCCCCATTTCTATATTCAATCTATGACAAGATACCCTTAATTTTGAAATACATATGCGATACTTTCTAATGTTAATTAAGCTAAAATATGGCTGTAGTTGAATGTTTGAAATACACCTATAAAAAGTAGCTCTACTAGAAATTTGAAGTCTGCTATCCCAATTCTGTAAAACATCATCTTTATTTCCTTGCTTCTCTAGATTCAAAAGTACATTTGTGTTTCCAACAGTTTGGAAAAGCCATGCATCATAAAAACCAAGATTATCAAGTAAATGTCTTACTAGAAAACACCAGTTTTTGTGATTAGGATTATTGGCTATATCTTTTTTTTTAACAAAAGATACATTTTTCTAGCATATTATTATCATTTAGATTCACAAATTTTAACCAGAATTTAATTATGTTGAAATATCTTATATTTTGAAAAGAAAGCCAACCCAGTTCACCATAAATGAAATCGTTTTGAGTCGTTTTCTTAACCCCTAACATATTTTTACAGAACTGCATGTGCAACCTTTCAATAGCTTTTCAAGGTATAAACCCCCAAAACCTCGGAACTATAATTAAGAATAGGAGAATCAAGTTTGTCAAAAAGTTCTCACCTATATTTAACAGATATATCTGTTAATTTAAAAAAATACTTATTCATTCTAAATATTGCCTTTGTGGGCTGTCCAGCAAGTGTACTTTGAGCTTCAGAGAAAGAACCGCTGGTTGTAAATACGATACCCAAGTAAGTTAACTTACAAATTCGAAAGGATTACCATTATAACTAAACGAAATGTTACTTTGTAAACGGCCACCTTTGCGGAAAATAATGACTTTAGTTTATTTCTGAATTAACAACAAGTTTCCACTTGCAACAATATTCGTATAATGCATCTAAACTATTTTGTAATTCAATACAACTATTTGCAAATATAACAATATCATCTGCATATAAGATTAAAAACATTTTAAACATGTGAACATCAATGCCTTCAAAACCTTTATCATTAAATATATCTTCTAAATCATTAAGAAACATTACGAAAAGAAATGGAGACAAACACTCGCCTTGTTTCTTATTACATTGTACTTTCAAGTTCTCAGAATTAAATAGCTCTGTTAATGTTAACATATTTGGACGACGCCTCCAATAATAACCAGATATATACTTCTTTCGTATGAGATTATACACTGCACATTCTAAAACAAAATGATTTTCATCTTCTATAACATTGCAGTTTTAACATATTAGTGCATTTAGGTTTCGTCCACCTCCCCATTTCAATAATCAATCTATGACACGATACCCTTAATTTTGAAATAGATATGCAACACTTTCTAATGTTAATTAAGCTTAAATATGGCTGTAGTTGAAAATTTGAAATGCACCTATTAAAAGTAGCTCTACTCTGCTATCCCAATTCTGTAAAAAAATGATCTTTTATTCCTTGCTTCTCTAGAATCAAAAATACATTTGTGTTTCCAACAGTTTGGAAAAGCCATGCATCATAAAAACCAAGATTACTAAGTAAATTTCTTTCTAGAGAAGACCAGTTTTTGTGATCAGGATTATTGTCTATATCTTCTTTTAACAAAAGATACACTTTTCTAACATATTTATTATCATGTAGATTCACAAATTTTAACCAGAATTTAATTATGTTGATTATCTTATATTTTGAAAAGAAAGCCTACCCAGTTCAACATAAATGAAATAGTTTTGAGTCGTTTATTTAACCCCTAACATGTTTTTACAGAACTGCATGTGCAACCTTTCAATAGCTTTTCCAGGTATAAACCCCAAAACCTAGGAACTATAATTAAGAATAGGAGAAACAAATTTGTCAAAAAGTTCTAAGATCAATGCCTTCAAAACCTTTTTCAATAAATATATCTTTTTTATCATTAAGAAACATTGCGAAAAGAAAGGGAGATAAACACTCGCCTTGTCGTACACCTAACATACATTGAAATTGCTCACTAATTTAGTTATAATATTTAACTCTAGATTTAACTGCTGAATACATAGATATAATGATGTTTAACATGTTTCCACGAATTCCTAACTTAATCATTGTTTAACCATAAATTATCTCTGACAATATAATCAAAAGCTTTACTAAAATCAATAAATTTACAAAAAAAGTTGCTTCCCGTTATTTAAAATGACAAATAAGACCATGAAGTACAAAAATATTATCTGTTGTATCCTTGTTTGACCTAAAC